TATCTGTTTAATAAAAATATTAGTTGTAAAACAGCTTGTATTATTTTTTTTTATATATTATACCTAATTTGTCTACATTTTACCACAGTTATCCTTGTATTATATGAATAATGTTTGATACTGATGCAGTTCGTTCAGTGTACATCTATTCAAAAGTGTAACTTCTCTCAGTGTAAACGATTGTGTTTCTGTCAAATCGGTCGACTCTAGCGTGACCACAAAACATCAAAGGAACCGCCGATTCTGTCGCTTCTCGTTGGTATAGTGTTCTCTGATTATACTCCCTTGGGAATAATCGACTACTTCTGTTTTAATTTTGATGTCATAGAAACTGATTTCTACTCCCGACCGTGGAAAAACGTATTTATTTTTATATTATGAGCTAGATTGATAATATTTTTGACAAAATAAAACTACAAAATACAGCAAACCGCCATGATAGGTTGAACACCAATCAGAGCGAATTACGTCACATCTATGTAAATGTCATTTTGTGTCATTCGTACGTCGACAATATCCGCAGTATTTATCTTCGTTTAAATATTTTGTGTTTCCCAACTATCAGTTGCTTAGTTTTGTGTTACCAAAACCATAATCAGGAAACGTTAGGTACTTGAAAAGTTTCTAAAAAAAGGAAAAAAATAAAGCTCAACAACTGCGAGTTAATAAAATATCAAAAAGATTATGTTTGTGATCAAAGGTTTATTCAAACATAAATTGGTGCTGAAATACAAAGAACAGTCCTGCGACACATTTTTGAAAAAACTCGTATTGACTGTTGACGTGAAAGTTGAAGAAGATACGAGACCAACATCAAAGCTGTTTTTGGCATGAGTTAAGATATGGCAGAGTGACGGCCTCACGAGCGTTTGAATTGAGTCGGTGCAAGACCAATGATGCAACTCTGATCACGTTAGTAATGAGAGGAAAAATCTCAGACGCATCGGCCATGAAACGTGATAGAATGGTGGAGGATGAAGTGAGAAAAACTGTACCAGTTTGGGGAAAAAATTTAAAAAATGTGGTATAATGCTATCCCACGATAGCCAATCGCCTGATGGATTCTGTGAAGTCAGTATTATTGAAATTAAATGTACGTACCACGAATATGAAGACTTTTAAAAATTACGTGGAAAAAGGAAACCGACCCAGAAGTTTTATGTGCAGATGGCAGCTACAAATGTATTTTCTATCACGCGCGCTCGCTATGGGACCTATAGTGTAGGGGGTTAGGTGCACGGAAAGTGCTAGATAGTATAACAGCGATAGCGCAACGTTGGAGCATTGCGCTATGAAAATAACATCACGCTGTTGTACTATCTAGCACTTTCCGTGCACCTAACCCCCTATGTTATAGGTCCTATAACGACTCGCACTTGTGACAGAAAATAGTATGTGCAACTCGTTCGGAAAAGTTGCCATAGCGCCATGCCACTTGGGCGCTTTCCGCACTCGCTTCGCTCGTGCGTCAACTGCGTCCGCGTGGCGCTATTGGCAACTTTTCCCCACTCATTACACAATGTACTATAACAGGGCTTCAAAAGGGCTATTTCGATGTAGCTGATTGCAACTACAGTACAAATAAAAAAGTAGAAGTAATTAATGTTACATTTGATGACAACTATATATCTGATTTTCTTAATGTTTTAGTCTCTTTATGGAAAGATAATGTGTATCCATTAGGTATTATACCAAAGTACAATTTGACGGTAAATAAAATACATATACTATTATGGTAACTTTGTGTTTTTATTTAACTAATGAATCTTGCAACACAAAATATTAGCAGGTACTTAGGTACTGTTGACGTTGACAAACATAGATGTAGACGCCATGACATCGACGACCGTTTTTACGTGAGTTTAGACTTAAAATTAAAATATCAATATTTTTCTACTAAATCTATTATTTTCTACAGAAATAAGATATTTTTTGGAAATAGTAAATATTTCCGAACATCATAGAACAGCTTTTCAAAATCTGTCATTATGCCTATTATCAAAATTTGACCACTATAATTTTCACCAGCAGGTACTGCAGTTGTAATTTTTTAAGATTGAAAAAAGGACCAATAAAATTATCACTTATTATTATTATCAATACTCAAAGAAATCTGCATCTGTATATGTAAGTTGGTATTGAGTAGCAGTGACAATTAAGATAGGACATACTTTTGTAGGTTATTCTGATCCACATTCTAATAGATGGATCATTAGTCTTATGTTTGGTGATTTTGCTGACGAACGATCTCATCTGTTTACTCGATATTGCAGATATATTTCATTGTTGAACGAGGATGTAGCTGTAGTCCTCAGGGTAGTTGTTTCTCACAATATAGTTGAAAACATCATATTTATTTCGGTCTTTTCAAATATTTCGAAAACTAATCATGTTAGTCTTGATTTTTTTAGAGACATTATGTTGGTCCTCTGATTATGCAACTTTGCCCCCTTTAGCGAGAAGCCTGTATTTACTGAATATTCAACATACTAAATAATAATGTTTTAATTACCTACTAAGTAATTTGTATTTAAATACATTTTGAAAGTATTTTGCCCAGCTGTCTATTTACATTGAGACTAACAAACGTTTTTATCAAATTTTCTATTTTTTTATTTAGAAAATTACTTTATAAGAAAACTCCACAATTTTTTTTAACAGTAGTCGAGGCGACATCTAGGTAAAAAAAAATGTAAATGGCTGTATATATATAGGTTTATTGAATATGTGAACAATTACATTTAGATTTAGCGGCAAAGTAACAAAAATATACATAGCAATAAATTTACTTTTACCACAAAATATGATTCATTATTACTAATTCACAGTGTGTTGGCCTCAATCGTTACTTGGACTAGACTTGAGAATGAAGTTTCTGCCTCATGGAACACCTAAAATATTTTTATATAGTAGCATAGCATTCAGTGCCTGGTTTTCACTTTTATTTCTTGAAGATCCTTCTGGAGATAGTGGAGGACGTAATGGAGGACGACATCGTAGCAATACTTATATTCTGTCTGAAAACGAACAAAAATGTTTTATACGTTTTAGTTTTCATTTTTCATTTTAATATATCAGTAGTACATATTTCAAACCAGGAAAAAAAATTGTATTAATTTCTTCTACGAAAAAGTTTATATGACATCTCCAGTTCAATCATTGGCGTTTATACCTACTTTGTTCACATTCCAAGAATTAATTTTTGCGCATATTATACAGAGATATTCATATACCATTTTATCCCCTTTATCATTTTTTTTGATTTTTCCAGAAAGAACTTTTTTTTTGTAATCTCAAATTGAATATAGTGTTCCAGACAGTGCCTGATTTACAGTGGTGGGGGCCTGTAGGCTGAAAATTGGTGGGGGCCTATTTAAATTTTAAGAATAAAATATATTTTTCAAAATAATTTTTCTTTATTGTTCATGATGGGGAGGTCTTTAAAAAAATCTTAAAATAATTTGTTTTCATAAAAAAATTTTTTGTTAACATGGTGGGGGCCCCTAGTTGGTAGGGGCCTGTAGGCTGCAGCCTACACAAGCCTTTAGGTAAATCAGGCACTGGTTCCAGACCACATATGTAAATTAAATTTGTGCCACATATTTACTTTGACAGTTTGCAAAATATTCGTTTGGTATTCGCCGTTTTTTTGTTGACAAAAAAGCGAAAAAGATAATTGGAAATGAGATTGTTATACAATACATTTTTTTAAAGATTAGAGGTCAAACCCTTATTATATTCTATCCAGAATAGAGTAAATTATAATCTTGTAAAAGCTTACTATATTTTCTATAAGTTGAGGTCTGTGTCTCCTCACTGTTCTAACAGCTTGGAAAACATCAACTTCGCCATGTTGAATTACTTGTTCGATACAAGCATTAGCGGCACAATATATCCCACACCTGCTTCTTCCGTCGCTAAAATAAAAAAAATGCATTTAAAAATATTTGGTCAATACTAGGTATTCTAATCGGTTTTATTCTAACATTTTTATTTTTTGTCAATTCTTTCTAATACTGTAGTCTTAATATTAACAAAACACAAATAATAATGTTATTTTCTGTAAGGAACTTACGGAGAAACTACACAGACTGGACCATATTCTGTTCTTTGTCTCCACCGCTCTACCATGTTCATTAATTCCACCAAGGAGTTAGTTGAAGTGGGAACTTTGTGCCCCATCGGCCAGCAAGTCAGTTGAAATAATTGGACAGTCTTAGGGGGCGCCTTAACACCAGCCATCAGTTCTGTCAGCGACACTATCTGAAATTATAGTGATATACAGGCAGGGTGATTCATAACATTCAAAAAATTTTGGGAATACATAGATGCGTCATGAAAAATGGAGTCAATATCGTAAAAAATTTTTTGTAAAATCCTTATTGTTTCTGAGAAAAGAATTATTGAAATTGTAGTATTTACAACCCTTACATGGCTGGGCTACTGTAGTCTCTAGCGTCATTCGCGTTGTTCGCTCTACGCAATGCAGTCTCTTCACATGGCTCTAGGCGATTCCGAACACGGAAATCCGATTTCAGTATTAACATTTTTGCGATAGTGTTTACAATAGTTTTTCAAGTGTCAAAAATGGCTTACGTGTATAGCGACTCGGAGTAGATGGATATCGTTTTAATTTATGATGAAGCAAGACAACATCTACAGGTATTTTATGGTGAAACATTTGAGTTATGGTGAAGCAAGGCAACATTTGTGTTAGTTCGTAGAAGACGGGCCCAAATGTGTTTACATGTCGGTGGAAAAAATTTTGAACAGTTGTACATCAGGTAAGTCAAATTATTAATTATTTATTTATAAAATTAATTAAAACCACAAATTAATTTTATTAATTAATAATAATAATAATATCGGCAAAAGTAGTTGAATTTGCTCATATAAAATGGATGTTATAGAATTTTATTTACCTAATTCTTTTCTTGGAAAAGAAATTTTTTCAATTTTTTTGTCCGTTCATTTTTTATTACACTTTGCCGCCGTGCCGGTCGTCGACTGCATGCTTTGTTTTGCGCAAGGTCATACTTTACAGTGGACCAGTTTCTAGTGCCGTTGATTTTTTTTATAAAATTGTATTTGTAAGAGCACATTCATAAATTTTTTTTTGGATACATTCTGAGACCGTGTATTTTGAACTATATCTAGTGAAACCCCTTCTTGAGTTGGTAAATTAACAGACGTCAAAGAACTCGAATAATTTTGAAATGGTATGGAGAATCAATTATTTTTAAATCGTATATGAGAGCTTATACGATTTCATTTTTTAAATTAGAATTATTTAAATAATATTATATTTTAATATAATATTAAGACACTTCATTACTCATATACATTATATTATTTCCAACATTAGCTTTGTATTGTACTGTAAGTTTTTAAATTAAATTTCCCTAATACACGCCTACGGTGTTTGTAGATAATTTAATAAAGAAATAAAAGATATGCTTCTGAAGAATAGAGAAAAAATACAAATTCTATAATCCGAAGAAAGTATATATATGGAATTAAATTCTACGTTTCTAAGATATTTACATATGCACAGTTGTTCATCATCCATGGCTTTATTGGGAAATGTTACGCCTAAACATTTTCTTACAATTCAGTACTAAAGAGCAGGTAGATCTTTATAGATACCTACGTCATCCAGAAGAAGAGACGAGTTGCTCTGAAGGACTTAAATAATTTTCAAACATGCAGTGGTGGTTGGTAAAAATTAAAATAGTCATATTTTCTCAATGAAACATGGGATTCATATCGTTTCTTAGGAATTGATTTCTATGCCCACAATTTAATTGTTTATTTTGCAAATTTCCCGAATCTTTTTCTTGATGGATGTTCTTTTTTCGGGCTTAGACCCCTAAAAATGGTACGGGTCCCACGGTAATTATCACCAGCCGCCATTGCAGTTGTAAGTTTCTAAGGTAGAAAAAAAATGACCAATAAAATTATCACTTATTATCAGCATACATACATAGCGTACATTCAGTTCAATACTGCCACAAGTGTAAATTATAACATTTTTGAGTAGAAGGAAATAAAACAATGGTGTTGTTTAATTAGTTCCATAATTGATAAAATAAATGATAGAGTATACTTACATGTTGCTGATATATAATCATACATAGAAGAATTATAGACTGAGATAAAAATTAGAATTTTGTTAGATATGGCGTTATTGCACTGAAATTTTTATATTTTAAGGAGCCACATCTGCGCCATATCTGTCATATCTGCAAAATATGGTATATTTTAAAACTTAATCACTTGTGGCTGTATTTCATTTCGAAGTTAAATATGTTGGCACTGAAATACTGCCATAAAATCAAAAATTAAAAATTTGCAGTTACGGCGGTATTGAACTGGATGTATGATAGATACACATTTCAAGAAAATTTTGTTCAGCTTTGACATGCAATGCAGCATCTCGACAATTATTTGCAATAATCTTGCCTTTTTCAGTGAAAGCCTGATGAACTCATCACCAAACTGTCATATTATGATTCATATTGTGAAGTTTTGTTAATTGCTTTGTACTTGCTGTTGGCTTATTTTCAATTTCGTTCAAAATTAGAGCACATGATTGTCATTTCCATCCCTGTCTTTATTATTTTAGCAGTGATACTCAAATAAATGAACTTTCTCCTTATTTTGATTCGTACGCAGTATTTACAAAATCTGACAGCGATTCATGGCGTTGATTCTGGAGTACCTCTTTGCAACCCATGCATTTTCATGTAGGTACAAACAAATACGTACGTTAGTATCGTCGTCAGATTAAAATTTACATTTCACTTCCAATATTTCCAAGGATTATATACTGTATTAGGAATAAATTTTGCGACCTATGCCTTTATGGTCATTTCAATGAAAATAAGAGTTAATTAATTAATTAATTTGTTTTGGAAAAAATACACTTAAATGGAAAATCTAATTCTAAATAGAATAATTAGCCTAAAACTGAAACATGTATTGTACGCAATCTTTAAAAATGTGTCTGAATGCTAATTATCTAACTTGGAGATTGAAGTTTTAAAATACAGTGTAGGAAAGTACGGATGGCCTATGAGAAGTTACGTGAGAGCGATAAAGTAAGCCATAGAAATCCATGTGATAGACAAGGATGGCTATAATGAAAGCATCGAATAGTAAACGCCCATTTCGCCCTTCCACAAATAAGAAGTGGATCTTATTTGTGGCAGGGCGAAATGGGCGTTGACTATTAGACGCCTTCATTATAGCCATCCTTGTCTATGACATGGATTTCTATGGCTTACTTTATCGCTCTCACGTAACTTCTGATAGACTATCGGTACTTTCCTACACTGTATAGTATTTTGCTAGTTCACATTGATTATCGTTTTTGAGGGCAGGAGTAAATAATTCCTGAAAAATCGCGTTACCTGTATGTTCTCTATTGGTATTTACTCACCTATATTGTATTGTACGACTAATTTTAATTTTCTCAATCTTAAAATCTCACTCGCTTTGCTTATATTTCAAAAATCGTTACTTTACCGTTATTTATGAATAAAATATAAACATAACCAGAACATACTGCCTAATCATTAATAAAGTGCGATGCTGGAAAATACATGAAGTATACCTACCTATCATTCGAAGCGTAAAAGAAATATATTTGACATGAGACTAAATTACATTTTGTCCGGGTTGTTGGCGACTCCAGAAAATACAATTAATTTTTTTGATATATTACGAGCCTCAGGTCCGAATGTCATGTTTCATATCCGTTATTTGTGAGCAAAAAGATACCCACATAATAAACCATAATTGTACAGGGGTATTCGCATAATATTTGACCACCTTAACTTTCTTACTTTTCTATGGAAATAGTTAATAATGCATTACAAAACAATTGCACTTCGGAGGTACTATAAATTAAACATCTGTTTTTTTTTCCACGATTGCAACTGTATACACATGTTTTATGTTTATATACTTTCGTTTATTTACTGACCATATGCAAGGAATATAGCTAGGATTATCTTGGAATCAGTGCGTATCTATGCCATTCCATTTTATTAAATTTACTAAACAAACTATTCAATTCTTTATTGTAAACGTATTCTAAACAATACAATACAACGCAATATAATGCCAGTGTTATTAAACTCATTGGTAGTAGGTACCAACATCGTTCAATATCAACAATAACAACAACAACAACAAAAACAACAACAACACTTATTCTCCCTTAATTCATATAAATTACTAGATAGTTTTTTGTTTATTTTATCTTTCAAACTTTCAGGTGCCCTGTTGTGAAAGAACTAAGATGGGGGGTCAAATCAAGACTTCTTGCGGACCATAAAATTGCCGCTTTACAATAGAAACTTGGTTGAAAGAATGTTTTTCATCTAGAACAGGATGGAGTTATCACAAAACAGTTTTCATAACTGATATAGGTAGCTCTTTTTTTATAAAAAATATTGAGATTTCGTAAGTAAATTTAATAGAAAACATAAAAATATGCTTTGATTTCATGGCTGCCCATTTTGATTTTATCCGTTGTGGAGGGTCAGTAAAGAAACCAAAATATTGTGCAAACTGTTAAATATATGATATGTATAAACTGTTGTAATCAGAAAAAAGGCAAATTCTTCCATTAAAAAAACGGAACTTGGACTCGAAATTCAACATTCAATCGTTTTTTTACATATCTTGAAGATTGCAAGAAAATGTCTGGGTAGAATGTAATGTGAATAACCCTTGTACATACCAGTAAGGTGCATGAAATATTAAAAAAAATATAAATCTGTATTAAAAGTAAACATTTATGTTTAATTAATTAATACATAAACTTTAATTAAAATTTATTGGTTAATGGGACTTTCATTAGAAAACGTCACGCTTTTAAAACAGAATGGAAAGCATTTTCGAGCTCCGAAATAAACAACAAGAATTTTAATTGTGTATAAAAGTTTGAGTTAAATCGACTTTAAGCGTTAATTAAAACGATAACTTATTAAAAGATTGGGGTAGGGATAAATCTAGGGATCTATTTTTTGTGGATAACTTTGTTCTTACCTTTTTGTTTATACGGAAAACCCAAGTTTTGATATTCGAATAGTGGCTGTGCGAGATGTGATCAATTGTGAACACTGGGCCGTATTTTTTCGGAGCCCTCCCTTCAGGCCAAAATGGCGGAAATTGTTGCTGAAACAAAAATCATTATATATTATTAATATCTATATAAGTAGTAAATACACATTTAAACCTTATGTAGGTATTGGCCTTAATTTATATAACTACATATTAGCAGATAATTACAAAATAAAATTCTTATAAAATCGGTATTGTTGCTATAACTACACACATTTTCTTAAATTACTTTACGTACGTATTAGCTTAAAAATGTCCAGGATTATAAAAAAAATCAGCCGTCTAATTTATTTAAACAAATTTCCAAATTTTCAGTCCATACCAAATGTCCATTAATTAAATATACTCGTGGAAAGGTGCTTTAGGTTATTATTACATAAAATATATATATATTTTTTGAACTGAATAAACGACTTAATTTATTTTCATTCTTGTTAATAGTGCACATTACTCTTCTCAATTATATCTTCAAAGTTAGTAAGCTAATAAAAAAGTATCTTCAAGAAACAGAAAAGTCTCCTAGTCTCGAAAAAGATGATTTTGGAAAAGGTAGGATTTAGTCCATTCGCTCCTTTCCACTATAGGAACTGCAGAATTTAAATCTGTACAGGGTCCTCCAATTTCCATATTATAGGGAGGTATCTCGTATTTTTTCAGGAAAGACGAAAATACCATGGCTAAATTTGAAAACCACATTTTTCTATATTTTGGTTTGTTTAATGGATACAAGGAGTTTTTCATGTTTGACCATTTTTTCAGTATCAAATTTGTTGTCGAATAATTTTTTATTTGTGAAAATTTGTATGTATACAGGGTGTCCCGTTCATGTTTCAAAAAAACTTGTGTGCAAGTTCCTCATGGAAAAATAATAGGGGTAGTTCATATAAAGTTTTTTTCTTAGACGCCCTGTTTTCGAGATACAGTGTGTTGAAGTTGTTACTTTCCAAATGGTTTTCCTTAATTATCTTTAAATCGGCTAAAGAAAAAATGTTAAATTAGTACACGAATAAACATCACCTGTACGTTAAGAATAATGTGCAAACTAGGATACTAGGATACTACAAAAAAAAGGTATACTTGTCGAAATTCAGTAGCATGTACCATTTTCGAGAAAAATGAATTTTTATCTTTAGCCGATTTAAAAATAATTAAGGAAAATCATTTGGAAAGTAATAACTTCAACACACTGTATCTCGAAAACAGGACGTCTAAGAAACAAACTTTACATGAACTACCCCTATTATTTTTCCATGGGGAACTTGCACACAAGTTTTTTTGAAACATGAACGGGACACCCTGTACCTATATGCTTTTTATGCAATTATTTGCATTAAAATTCATTTTTTATCACATTCTATTTTTTAGTTAGGTATAACACACATGTATTAATAGGACGCTCTATATGTTTGTAAATATATCTTTTGATTTTTAAAACTTATTGAAAATTTTCTATTTAATGATTTAATGATTTCGAAATAAAGAAGTACTATTATTAAAATCAAATTTCCACCCTATGTAAAGAGAAGTTTAGGAACATTTCCCTCAATTAAATGGCAATTAGAAAAAACGAACTCGACTAAGTACACTAACTTTGGCTCTGAATAAAAGTAATAAGTATACGAACAATAAAGTACGTTTGAAAATTTAAGAGTAAGTTATTAAATCTAAAATATTTGTCCTATATCACGAATACGGTTAGCGAAATGAGAAAACCCAATGTTTATCTTATCTCAAGTAGCATATCCTTTTGTATTCTTTTAACTTCATTTAAAATTCCAAGATTGAAAGAACATAAAAGATGTATTCATATTCCTTTCTTTTATTTCACTAAATTTATATAGAAGAAATTGTAAATTCAAAAAATATCCTTTTGCTGCAAATAGACTGAAATAATACGTAGATAAATTATGTTATATGAACATAGGTACATTGAATTGTGACAAAAGGGAAATTTAAAATTTAGTTGAAGAGGAATTGTATCTACAAAATTTTGAAAACGAAGTATATTCTACTATAAATTTTGTGAGGTACAAATAATAAGTACCTCACTGCACTTAGGGAAATATCTTTCAGCCATAGGTAGAAACTGATTAACCTTAACAAAATGTCGGTATTAAATAGTCTTAAATATTACGCATAATAATAATAATAATATCTCTACTCCTCATTCTAACTACGAGAATTAGCCCAGAAGTCGGAGACTTGTGCGGGAGAGGAGGCGGCATATTATTATTAATCAGGCCGCATTTGCGCCCAGGAACGACTTATGTTGGTAGGCCCTAACCACCATTCAGTGCAGGAATGAGGGAAACCTGGAAAACCTCATTAATTAGGGGGGGTGGTCAATGNTGTAGGCCCTAACCACCATTCAGTGCAGGAATGAGGGAAACCTGGAAAACCTCATTTAATAGGGGGGGTGGTCAAATATCAACCGGTGTCAATCTCTCACATTGACCCAAGCCAACATTCTTCCACCCTACCATACCTGCACAGAGGGTGCCAATCCTCCGTACAAGCATAGCTAATCTACGGTCTACCGGCCGCGGGATTCGAAACTCGGGCAGATAGCACGCATCGATTTAAGTACTGACGCCTTAAACTGCGCGGCTGTCGACTATAATAAAAAAAATATTGCTAAAGAAATCTAGTAGATAAAAAGTTTTTTATTTATTACTCCAAATCTCCATATTACGGTAACCATAATCATAATCTTCTACCTTTGCAAGAGTTTTTATCGTTTAAGTTTTCATGCTAGGATGACTACTTTTATGATAATCAATTATGTTTTTTTATTTCAAATAAGTTACTTTTTAGACGTTAGTAAGTGGTTTTAATCTTGTAACTAATTTGTGCACTAGTGCACTTTATACTTAATACGTTACAAGTAAAAAACAAGATACCTGTAATTTGGACAATCCCACCATCCCTGACTATTTACTTTTAACTTTTTGTATATGAAACAAAAATTGTGAGCCAAAGTTGATAACTTATGAGCAGATAATATTATTTTCTTCATACAGTCAAAACCTTGTTGGTTATTAATATTATTTATATTACTTATGTCATATAAAACCTTACTATTAATTTTGTACATTATTGGTCCTTGTCTCATTCAAAGTATTCTCCTTCTCTATTCATACACTTTTCTCAACGGTGTTTCCATTTCGCGAAGCAATCCCGAATAGCTTTATTTGAAATGGCCTTTAAGGTCTGCGGTGAATTTGCTTTGATGTCATAAATAGTCTGTAAATGACATCCTTTCAGCACTGAATTTAATTTCGGATATAAAAAAAATCGTAAGGAACCAGGTCTGGCAAGTAAGGAGGGTGTGGGAGGACAGTAGATAATCTGATTTGGCATAAAACTGACGAATTGACAAAGCTGAGTGTGCGGGCGCGTTGTCATGGTGTAAGAACCATGAGTTTTGTAACAAAATCTGAGACTCGTGATAGATTACTTGTTAGTTCTCGGAACGGATGGGTCAAGTCAGTCAGCAATAATTTTATTGAAAAGTTAAGGGTTTTCAAGTAGGTTTAGCATCGTCATAAAGTCGCTGAGAAACTGGTGCCTCTTGTCACCGGGAGTAATAAATTTGCAAAGCTCGACCATCGCAGTCCTTCGGATAAGGTCTCATGAAATTTAGCAATGATTTTGAACAGGTAGGCTTAGATCGTCGGGGCCATGTGTTGGGTATCTGGTATTGATTAACTGCGTCGGTTTAGCCCATGGTGAAGGGAAAAATCGATATTTCTAATAACGTGAGAAATACATTAGAAAAGACATAGGAATTCCAAGATATTTAAATAAGTTGTTAGAATGTTGTGAGAAAAATAATAATAGATCAAATAGCTGGTTTTTAGGCGGATTTTCCAAGCTATAAGAATAGATTAAATGAGATTGACTAATCCGTCCCGTGATGCTATACGGAATCATAAGAGGAAGGTGTAGGGTTACTTGTAAGTTGTTTAGTCACAAAATTATCCATACAACTGTAAATTCAGTCAATTAGGCATTAACATGGTATAGTTACGCCATTCCAATCCCCGATATTCAGGGATCCCGCCAATAAGATAATAACCGAAACTTCTGCACCTACCCAAGAAATGGGCGTGTCGAAGAGAGATGTCGAATTCAGAAGAGATCTCCGAAAAAAAGGCAGTTTCTCTTTCGATTCCACACTGGCAGTTTTCTTCTTTTTAGAGTCTCGGGTGAATTTAATCATGAATAAAGTCTCCAAATTCTGTTATGAATTCGCGTTGGGTTCCCTGAATCTCGGATTGCGTTATCGCGTGTAAATTAATTAATAATGTTTATTCGAATCCGTTGTGTCTTCGTTATTTTGTTTATTTGTTTTGTTTTTATTGTTATTAAAAACCTTCCTCGAAGTATTGGTTTTCTTGTCCTTCCAAAATAAGTGTCCATCGAGTGAGAGTGGAGCACCCTTTACAACCAACACCTGGATTATACTCTTCGTGAGCGACGTATGGTAAATGTCTAAAAATCATTTTTCAGTCAAAATATCATGGCATGACCCAATTGAGATCCTAACCTCTTCTGCAATTTATTTGACAGTCAATACTGATGCGTATCTTTGACAATTGAGTGATAACTACTTTTAAATCTTGAAAATCATTCGTAACATTGCGTACGACTCAGAGTATCATCTCCGTAAACTTGTGTCAAAAGTTGAAACGTTTCTGTGAAACTTTTCCTCAGTTCCACGCAAAATTTTACGTTGCATCGTTGTTCCAGAAAATTGCACATTTCAAAAATCGACACTAACGAAAAACGTTGCACTAAAATGACAATATCACGGAAAAAACTAAATAAGATATCAACAATCCAAGAACATGTGGTTACAGAGAAGGTTAGGTGCAACGCAATGCTCCAAACCGAATATCACTAAATATCTCCATTAGCGCGTAATTCATAAAGTTCTTTGTATGTTATTTGTACGAAAAGTGGGCAGCGCGTTCTTCCTGTTGCGTTGTTGTACGATTAGTACGCGCTAATAAAATATCTAGTTACTATAATAAAATTTTTATTCGATCCATGTAGCTACAGCTAAATTATTTTTAATAGTTAAAAAACAGGGTCCAAATAAAATTAATTAACTGGTGTAACAAGTTATCTTGTTACATTTAGCAGAAAAAATTACATATTCAGCGTAAGGAGGTGCCCTATTGTTCCAGTAAGACGCCAACATGGGGTAGTACAATCGTATTAGCAAAATAATTGTTATTAAATTTGGCGTATGATATTGTGATACTAAAAAGAAAAATCCCCATTATATACAAGTTCCATAAGAAAAACTTTTTTTTTGCCGATTTCTATCAGTGTGAAAATATAAGATACTAACTGATACTAACTCTGATTTTTATTCAGATGTCATGAAGTCCTATAGCTTGATTTACCCCTGAATTTGTATGTAAAAAGAACTGACAATTAAATAAATGTACGATAATTCAACTTACTGAATTGTGGGGAGGTACGCACAGCACAACCACAGCAGAACATTCGTAATCGTATACTAAAGACCAGAATTCTCCACATGTAGATTTAATTGGCCATTCAGTCACAATGTATTCACGGGGTTTCGTATATCCCTAGAAATAATGAAACAAATTAGTATATTTAATAAATGTATAACATATTCATATTGATTTTAAGTCCCGTTGTTCATAAGCATTCAAATATTATCAGAAATATTCAACATTCAACAGCAACCGAAGTACAAGATTATTACTACTACCATGTTTGCTTGGAAGATATAATATTATCTAAATTTCAATTTGTTATTAGTCTAAGAGGAGAGTTTGTTGCAATTTTTTAATTTTATGGTTAAAAAATATTAAAAAACTATGAATCATTGTTCAGGATAATCAAAAAATAGGTTTCTATTACCTTGTAAAGTGGTGAAGTTTTCACAGAAGTATTAGCATTTTAAAAAATATGTTTTGCCCTTACAATTACTTCATTTTCATATAAATATAGTATTTCCATGAATGGAGCTAAAAATACTTTTTTAATTTCAGTTTTAAGTAAAATATTGCTGTTAAAAATATCCTGTTTGTTAAAATGCATATAAATGTAATTTTAATAAGACAGCATGTACAGGGTAAGAAATTTTTAGATCTCAATAATATACCATGTTAAGAAGCAGAGCCAATCTTTTTTCAATATTAAATACCGAACGACGGTAATATCAATAACAAAAAAAATGTTTGTAATGAAAGTGGCATCAATTATTTTCCTGATGTTTTAAAATTATTTTCCATTATACAGGCTGTCCCATTGCTTTTAGGCGTAACCTAACATTATTTTTTCAAAGAGACATTGTAGCCTTTTTTAATTTTTTGTTTGAATTTAAGATTCGATTGACTTTATATTTATTTCGATTAGAAGAATAGTAATTTAAGTTTACACGGATATTTTTAACAAAAATCTGACATTTTGGGGAAGGATTCTGGACTTGATTAAAAAATAATTATTAATGTAATTTTATTTATGGAAAGTTAAATAGACCTTTCCACCAACATACATTTTTTCTATTCATGTTGTTCAGAATTAAAATATATCTTGTTTCAAATTTGGAACTAAGTAATTGTAGTTCGATTGTTTCAATTTCTCCATCCTATGCAGGTAAACTGACATTAGATGATTTTATAATTCTATGATTGTCAAATTAAAAAAAATATGAAATTGGTATATGGACATATTTTTTTTTAGCTTTTCAGAAATGAAAATATGTTACAGATAATTCTATAATTATACACAACGTCAAGACTTCCAAATGGTAAATTTCAATTTCAAATTTTTTCGTCGTTGACAGCTACGGTTAAGGGGATCTGAGGACATTCCCTGCTTACCAAATGTGGTAATTTCCATAAATTGGAGAATAAAAGAAAATGCCTTTTTTCTATTCTGTGCACGTAGATAACAGTATATTGTATTTAAACTAACTAACTAAACTGACTAAAAACTCCTACTTTATTTATATGAGAAAATGAAAGACAATCAAACGTAACTGCCTGCAAAGTAAGTAAAACTAAGATTTCACGGTAATGCTTATTCTTTACTATGAGCAAACTATTTCTATCTGCAATCCAATACGAAAAACTGTTTATTAGTCCTAGAAATTTATGAATATGCATGGAGAATATGATAATATTTTATCATTTATGGTGGAAACTAAGCTACTGTTATTTGTGAATTAGTCCTTTATAATTTACATATTTGCTTTCCACTCGTGCTCAACTTTAAATACATAAATCTTTCTAGCACAAGCATCTACTTTTTTGTATTTTCTCGGAATTAGCCTAAGGAAAACCTGTTTTACAATTTACCAGATATGATCTGTTAATATAATAATTTCTTACAATTTAAAATGTAAAAATCCAAAATTAATAAATATTAAATGCTTTTAAGCGGCATGTTTGCTTTGACAATGTTTATCTATAATGTACTTACATCTACAAATACAGCATTTATATAGTCGGTATAGCTATTTCCTTGGAATGATGTTAAGTATGGTCGAAAGTTGTCAGCTATAAAAAGACAAAATATTTAATAATAATATTAATAATATTTATTTGAGTATATATTTTTTACAAATTAATTTATAGTCATTTATGCACTAACATACATTCAAAGTCATATACACACGTGGATATACACATCCGAAATCTATTTTTATCTGAAATTAATATAAATTAGTATTTTTTTTACTGTTGTACGTACCAAAAATGTGAGCAACAATAATATATATAATTGTAAAGAGATTATCAGATATTATAAAACAGTATCACAAAATTTTCTGTACTACTTAAATCGTTAATTATTTTTAAGGTTTAGTACAGTAATGAGAAGAGTCGTTTTAGCCAATATTATGTAAGATAGTTCACGTTAAAAATATTTAGATATTATTGTAAAAATATATCAGTCTTGCAATTTTGGACATTTTACGAACATCTATGTCATTTATAGTGATAGTGCAGGCAGTGTAAGTATCTATTATTTTTTATCTCGTCTTTTATTTGTTTTACTAACAATTTTTTTTTAATAAAAATTAATTTATAGTAAAATTTTTATTCCGGCGCATTCGCCATTTTCTCGAAGAATGTTCAGCATATTATGCAATTAAGGAACAGCCCTTTTAGCATCCGGTAAGAAAATATCAATCAAGGGTCTAGTCTAGATCATAATACATAAACATCGGATAGCGAACATATAAATAGGCTCAAAACGCTTTCTAGCGACAGTACATACTTTGTAATCGTTTCAGTTGTTTGACTGATATTCTGTACTTACTTACATTCAAGTGTTAAATAAATTGTTTTTAACAACATAATCTTTAACTTGCACAATATAATTACATCTTAAGTTTTTAAAAATACAGGGCATCCCGAATTTTGTCCAAGAAAATTCAAGAACCCATAGAAGAGACTTAAATAATGGAGAAGAAAATAATGGAATTTTGTTATATAAACTTAATTTTGATTTTTGAGGTAAACGGCTTTGAAATAAATTTAAAAAACATATATCTCTAAATATCTTAGAAACGAAGTTATTGAAACGAAATTTTGTATGAACAATACACAAACAAAATGATATTCAACGTGAAAACATTAAGTCTCAATGTAAACCAGTACAAATTAACAATTTTTTAATATAATTTGTTTAGATAAATGCATCTGAATTTATTTAAGAATAACATCCTGTTTCTTGAAAACGAGGCTCCTTTGTTTTTGACACGTTGACGTGGAACACCATGTATGACATGAAAGGACCACGCATACAGTTAATGGAAATCGGCAACCCGTCAAATTGTCTGAAAATGAAATATTATAGTTTAAGATGTCCTGATCAAAAGTTGTTACGGGTCCAAGACGCAAAAATGAATACTTATCGAGATAAGCCACATTGAAAGTGAGCGAGTCCCAACGCTCTTATATACAGGGTGGTCTGAATTTTATGCAGGAAACTTCTAGGGCAGATAGATCTTTTTAAAAGAGTAAATGTTTGCCTTATAAACATAGGTCTAGAACGGCCTCGTTTTAGAGATACAGGGTGTTGAAGTTGTTAAAAAAAAATATTTTTTGTTTATATCTCCGGAATCCATCGACCGATTTCAATAAAATTTAGTACAGATAATGTATGATAGTAGGCCTTATATTCCTTAAAATATAAGTTCTAAAGATTCAACCAGTGGTGTACAACTGGACAGGGTCACCCCTTTTTTATTAAAAAAACTTACGCCACTGTATTTTTTACAAGCTATTGTAACGAATTTATATTCTAATGCACAAAATACGTAAAAAGGTAACTTGAATTTTTTCCCTAAAGTTCACCGTTTTCAAGTTATTCATACCAATACAATCCCCTTGTGGCAGACACTTTATGCTTAAAAGTAAGTGCAATTTGTAAGCACATCGACACAATTCTTTACACTCATCGCCTTCATCTTTTTGGAATAAAACAATATTTGGAAAATCACGACAAAGGAATGAAAGGCACAGAAATGAAATTTTTAAAGCATTTGACGACGATCCTTGAAAAGTTCTACGTAAGGATGGCAGAAATCCGTACCATTTACAACCTGTGCAAAATTTACTTCCGGGAGATGCAGACGCCTGATTTTTTATCAGTGGTTGTTTGAATTCTTACTAGAAATACTTTGGACCGATGAGGCTACTTTCACAAGGCGAGGGGTAGTGAATTTTCACAATCTGAATCTGGTCACAAGAAAATCCTCATGAAATTCGTCATTTCTAAACTTTCTAGAAAACCATCTATTTGAATTATTAGAGGATGTTCCATTAAATATACGACAAAATAGCTGGATACAAATGGATGGTGCTCTTGCGCATTTTAGGAGAATAATACAACAATGGCTTAATGAAAATTATATGAGATGGTGGATAGGTAGAAGACCAAATGCCAATGTCAACCATAATCGTGCAGAGGGTCCAGTGTCTTGGCCAGCCAGATCCCTGGACTTCTATGTTTGGGGTGACCTAAAAAAAGTTTACTCCAATAGATACTAGACCACAACTACTGCAGCGAATAGAAGACGGATCTAATGAATTAAAAGAAAACCACCACATAATATTAGCTTCAATTAGTTCCATTAATAGAAGATGTAGGGATTGTATTTGTGTGAATAACTTGAAAATGGTGAACCTTAAGGAAAAAATTCAAGTCACCTTTTTTACGTATTTAGTGTATTAAAATATAAATCCGTTACAATAATCTGTAAAAAATACAGTGGCGTAGGTTTTTTTTTATAAAAAGGGGATGACCCCTGTCCAGTTGTACACCACTGGTTAAACCCTTAGAGCTCATATTTTAGGGAATGCAAGGCCTTCTATCGTACATTATTTGTACCAAATTTTATTGAGATCGGTTAATAGATTCCTGAGATATAAACAAAAAAAAATTTTAACAACTTCAACACCCTGTATCTCTAGAACGAGGCCGTTCCAGACCTATGTTTATAAGGTAAACTCCTATTATTTTAAAGAGATCTATCTGTCCTCGAAGTTGCCTGCATAAAATTCGGACCACCCTGTATAGTCTTTTTTACGGCAAGCCATATGGCTCATCTCTCTTTATCTCTTTCCCTCTGAGAGAAACAAGGCGAATAGTTTTCAGTGCCGAGCCATAATTCTTGATGAATATAGCATACTGCATATCTAAGCCACTGGATCGAATTTGAGAATTAATTTTTTCATAAATAAGTGTTACCATCGAAACGATTAAATAATTGGTAGAACCAAGCAGAATATTACTGATAAAAGCAGCCCATACTTTTATATTAAGTCCACGCTAAAAACATCTTTCCATAACGACATGGGGATTTTTATCTGCGTAAACAGGTTGCTTATGGATATTTATTATCTTAAGTTTCGTGAACACGAATCGTCGTAAAAAGAATTTGCCTGTTATATAGGGTTTATATTGACGAATAAACGGCAGGATCAAGAGGTAGAAATTGTTGAACTGGGTGAACATGAAAAAGATGAATTCACTCTGTTCACTGTACTTTTAGAAAATATAGTTTGTCTCTATTAATTTGACCCTGGGTGCCGGGTTTGGGCCCGGTGCCACATTGGGTGTTCGAGTTTGATGAAGACGTCTGGCGTTACTTCTGTTAATTTTAAACCGACCAATTCTGAAAGACGTCTTTCAATAGTTCTGGAAATTTGACGATTTGGGATTGGACTATTCGGATATCGACATGTTTAAACTAAATTAAATTAAATCAGTTACTTTGCATTTTTTAATGTTACCTCCTACTAGACAAAATTAGAATAATTCCACGAATATCTAAATACTGTAAATCCAATGTTAATAAATATTAGGTGCTTACGCGGGACAATGAGGACGTCTCTGTTCTTTTTTCGGTTGTCTCCACGGTGTCCACCGGCACAGTCCCCTATGGTAAAACGAGGAGTCTGCTTGCAGATCAGCATGTACTCCCTCTGGTACTCGTTCATCTTGGTGTTCGGGTCTTTAGACGATTTTTGCTTCAGTCTTTGAGACAGCTCGCTCACTGGAAACCAGGAATTTCCGCAGATCACATGTTCTTCTAAGGTGTCATAAATGAACTTGTATTGGTCCTGAAAAAAATTAATATTATAATGTATGGGTTGTAGTAATTACAAAAAAGTTAAGAAGGGACTCTTTCATAATTAAAATGCGGCTTTTTTAAGATTAAGAAACTCAAATGAATATCAATTTTACTTTGTGAAAATAAATTATATGCAGTTTAATTTTAATTAGCTATCAAATTATATATTAATAACATTCACCAAATATTGGCTAAGATTTGGTGAATATATACTATTCTTGGGAAACAAAGTAATTTTAATGTGCATATTTTCATTACATTTGGTAAATAAACACCTGTCTGTCATTTTAATTTGTGTTCATTAAGTTGATGAAAATAAACACTAACCCAATAAATATAGTAAGGTAACTATTGTTCTAGTTATACAGAAAAATATTCAATTTAGAACATCACGAGTAATAATGAGGTCTCAAGAAGATTTTTATAGAAAAATGAGTCATGCTACAATATTCGTCGTTTTACCAGGTACAGAATATGCATCATTTAATTAGGTCGCTCTGTATCTTTTCTGAGAATAAGCTTGAATGCTGAATATATGTTAAAAAGCAAATGCCAATTTCTTTGTAATATTTAATAAAATTAGGATGTTTTATTTCTATATTATACAGAATGTTTCAAATTGGATACATTAGTACTTCGAAAAGTAGAAATAAAGGGAATAATTAAAGCTACACAAAAATTGAAAGCACTTCCTTATTAAAGCCATTTTCGCCTTTCTATCCAGGTCTGCATCTAGGAGGGGGCTACGGGAACTATAGCCCCGGGCCTTACGAAATCGGGGGCCCCGGCAAGATCTTTTAAATATTATATTCTATTATATATATTATATCTTATTATTATTATTATTATTATTATTATTATTATTATTGCTATTTTATTTACTAGAAAGAGAATATTTCTATTTTTATTTGATTATTTGTTAAAAGATAATTATATAATGCTATTAAGAGGGGAATAAAGANTATATTATATATTATTATTATATATTATTATTATATTATATCTTTTAAATATTATATTGGTAAATCGCTAATTGCGTGATATTTTTTTAGAATTAAAAGAAAGGGTGTTTAGTTTTTCTATATTGGTAAGTCGCTGATTACGTGAGCTTTTTTTTAGAAAAGGTATTTCACAGAGCTAGCCCCAGGCCCCACCATAGGCTAATACGGCCCTGTTTTTATCCGAACATGAAACTGGACATTTTATATTAATAATTGGAATAACGGCTTCAAAAGTTATTACAAAAATATTGAGTTTTTTCAACATCACTTACTTAAAATTTCAATTTTTTCTGTTAGTCTCTAAATACAGGATTGTAAAAGAATGGCAAATCTAGGTAAACAAAAGTTTCTGGAATACTTTTCGTTTTTGATCAGTTTTGAAGACATTTTGACAAGACTGTGTCTCATAGTTAGAACAGAAAAAACTAGAGTTAATAATTTTTCTTATAACGATTTCTAAAGGTTCTATGTTTTAAAGATAGAAAGTTGAACATAGTTATTGATTAATTACTCAGGAACTATTGAAAGCATACCTAAATTGGGTATAGTATAGTTCTCATAACAACAGCTACTTTCTTGTCAAATACGAAGAAAGAATGGTGTTAGAATTAAGACCAATTTTACATATTTCTTTAGATCGCATGCAATCAAGGTCGAGATTATTTAAATCGTATGTTTAAGACTACAATTAAAATCACAGATTTTTAAACTGATTTTGAATTTAAAAAATTGTGATTACGGTGTTACAGAATCAGAAATTAAACGATATAATTTATAAACAAAAATTTAAATTCTTCAACTAAATGTCATAAAGTTTTAAAATCATTAAATATATGAAATATTAACTTCATAAAAACAACGAAGAGATATTAAGAGTTATATTTTCTGAAGTAATTTATATTTGGCATTTCTCTTATAATTTAAATCTGTTTGGAGTATTTCGTCATTGTGCAAACTTACAAACTAATAATAACACAGCCCCACAAAAAAAAGTGTTCGGACTTGTGGGTCGGACATATGTATTCCCATGTATTTTTCGACGCTGAATCCGATCCCGAGCTCAGAAATGGCCCTCCACGTCTAAAATGGCCTCTATAGGGTCTGAAAGATGGATTCCGGGGTGAGGCGAGGTCGAAGGTGTATTCTAAAGCCAAAGCCTGATTTGTGGTCGAAAAGTTTATGGCCAACTGAAATTCCCCATTTGGGACCGAGAAAATGACCCCTTAGGGGCCGGAAAATCGTATTTCGGACATCGCAATCGCAACAGTGGTACTTTTATGTACTTTTAAATTCTGGAACTCAGACTGTGCTCGAAAAGTTTATGGCCAACTGAAATCTCCCGTTTGGGAATAGGAAAATGACCCCTTAGGGTCCGGAAAATAGTGTTTTGGACGTCGCAATCGCAACAGTGGTTTTCCCATGAAAAAATACCCCTGCCGGGGTTGGAAAATTGAGTGATTTCAATATGTTCTTCTACTCTGCAAGTAGGTTTGAGGTCGAGAAGGTTCTATCACGCTCGGTTCACGCCTTAATTCAAGAATTACTCCTGGGTGATAGTTTTCCCAGGTATCTAAAATATTCTTAATGCCCGATCCACCGATTCCAATGCCTCTATCCTTTTCCCATATATTTCTCTACACTCAATTGTCAGTACGGAACTTCAGAACGCTATAAAGTATAAAGTATAAACGATACAGTATACCGACAGTATCTCATCATACGGAAGTATATACAAAATACCACTGTTGCGATTGCGACGTCCGAAACGCGATTTTCCGGCCCCTAAGGGGTCATTTTTCCGGTCCCAAACGGGGAATTCCAGTTGGCCATAAACCTTTCGAGCACAGTCTGAGTTCCAGAATTTAAAAGTAGGTACATACAAATACCACTGTTGCGATTGCGACGTCCGAAACACGATTTTCCGGTCCCTAAGGGGTCATTTTCCCGGTCCCAAACGGGGAATTTCAGCTGGCCATATACTTTTCGACCACAAATCCGGCTTTGGCTTTAGAATGCACCTTCGACCTCGCCTCATCCCGGAATCCATCTTTCAGGCCCCATAGAGGCCATTTTTGGCCCCTGGGGCCAATTCCAGAGGTGGAGGGCCATTTCTGAGCTCGGGATCGGCGTCGAAAAATACATGGGAATACATATGTGCGACCCACAAGTCCGAACACTTTTTCTTTTGTGGGGCTGGGTAATCTATCTAGAATTCTATAGTGAGTTAAACATCGGATCCTAATTAAAATACAAATTCAAAATGCTCACAGTAGTTATTTTTTTTTTGTAAGTAGAGTATATTAAAATTGATTCTTCTGCGATTTGGTTTTATGTTAGTAATAAAAAAGGTCATTCCAGAATCCCCTAGGGAATAATCGACGACACTGTGGCATACACCAATCTAAAATCAATTGTCAACGAGTTTGCTGAATATTTTCGTCGTGTTCATACCATATCTGATATTAGTTACGTGAATCACTTCGTAGAAGAAGCGTACGTTAACGAAAATGTTTTTGTTAATTCAATACTTGAGGCAGATCAGATTAGGGTATCGAAAAAAAGATAAACTTATTTCGGGGATTGATGGAATTCCAAGTTTCTTTGTTAAAGTTTGTTGTAATGTACTAATGTAACTATAACTTTTTTGTATAATTTGATATTGAAGTGTTTTACAGAATTGTAGACCCATATCAATTTTATCTAATTTTGCATAGTTATATGAAATTATAATGTAAAACAAGTATATCCACGTGCTAAGATATTTATTATGCTTGGCCAGCACGTATTTTTCGAAAAAAGATCCACTACATAAGGGTGTTCCAAAAGTAATACAGGATTTAGTGCGGAATAGTGCTCAATTTTCATTCCGAACTGTTGGTAACATTGTGCAGGGTGATATGCTGTAGTAAACACATTGCAGTTAGACAAAATGGATGAGCGAGTGAAGATTGTGAAAATTCATCACAAGTACGGATAGTATGTAGCTGAGACTGTGCTTAAATTACGCCGAATTTTTGGTAGATGTCCCGAATGAAACAAATGTTAACGAAATAACAAACTGGCCTTGTACTGGCCGTTCAGTTACGGTGAGTGATAGTGTGGCGGAAATTCCCGTAATTTCAGTTGCAATTGAACATTTGAAAAAGCACAATGCAACGGATTTTAATATAAGATTTTTTTGGGAGGGGGGAGGGCGAACATGGATCTCAGCTTGTTGTCAATGGAGAATGATAACAAGAGATGCTATTGAACTTTTTGTGGCCTCATTTGGATAATGTGTGGTTCCAGCAAGATGGTGCCACCTGCAATACGGCACGTGAATTTATCCACTTGTTACGGCAGAAATTTAATGGACGATTTCACATATACCTAAGTGAAGTGACTTGGACACCAAGATTATGCTCTCTTACGCCATGCGACTTTTTTCTGTGGAGATTCGTAAAGTCCAAAGTTTATTCCGCTCAAATGAACCATTAAAGGCAGACTTTCTGAGAGTTATCAACGAAATTCAACTGCAGGTATGCGAAAGCGCGATATAGAATTTTCTTAAAAGTAGTCGAATATGCCAAATGAGTCGCGGAGGATATCTGTCTGATCCTCCTTCCTCCATATTTATTGGCAATGTCTACCCTTTAAAAACACGTACTTACCTACCTTTTAATTGATAAAATCTTTTTCTCATATAAAATCCTGCATTTCTTTTGGGACATCCTTTATTAATTTATGTTTCTTAAATCAGTTTGTGGCAAAAATTTTAAGTAAATAAGGTTAATGCTGTTTATATGGATCTTTAAGGAGCACTTCATCATTGATGCTTAAGAAGCATCAAATTGATCTATACATATTATTAAGCAAATTAACTTACTTTGCTCGTTCAACTATGCCACGGTGTAAAGAATTTGTGGAAGAATTTTTAAGAAGCATCAAATTGATCTATACATATTATTAAGCAAATTAACTTACTTTGCTCGTTCAACTATGCTACGGT